CTTGCCAAAGAACTACCATTCTGAGCATAAAAGAAATAATAATTTTCCTTGTGTGATCATACCCGAGGTTTTCTCCAGTGAAAGGCACTCATTTTACTGAGATTGCTATTAAATAAATTTGAAAAGCCTTGTCATTTATTTAGAAATTCATTGCCCCTATATAAAAATGGAGAAGTACAATGGTACATTCTTTTATTCTTGATCTTAGAGTCCTTCCTGAGACTATGAGGTCTATGATTTTCAGCATATTAATCTTGTTAGAGGTTGCTCTATAAAACTGGCTACTTTCCCCTGATCTGAACCATCTGCTTACTTTAAACAAACCTGGTAAAATATTGAAGGGATTAATGAAATTTTCTTAAGAATGTTATCAATAAATATAAGCTCACTTTCTCTTCATGATCTAAAATTCAGTGATGATGTCTTCTATAAATGAAGCCAGAAATAAAACAAAACACCTTGAAACCATGTTTTAACATTTCTATCGGGTGCAATAACTAAACTCCAGGGCATAGATCCCTGGGTTCACATCTCCTTCAGGGATGAGGAAGTTGGTTTGTTTCTGCCAAGGATATTTATAACATCATTATAAGTCATACAATATTATCAGTACAGGCAGCTACCAGACAATGAGAAGCTTTTCCTATCTGTAACTCTTTGTACCAAATTGTTTCACTGGCCTTGTAACATTCCTCACCCTTGTCAGTGGACTGCCATTCCACCAATAGCTTTAAAACTAGAGTACTAAGGAAAAAAAGATTCTGAAAAAAAGATTCTACACTGGAATTATGGGTCTGGAAGACAGCTATCTAATAAGATAGCCTCTACCAAAGACATACAGAATAAGATCTAGGTTAGAGTTCAATAATTATGACCGACAGGCCAAGTCTAGTCAATTACTTCCTTTTATACAACATGTGAGAAAAAAATTATATTTACATTGTGGCACTGGTAGCTCATATTTGTAATGATAGCTCTTCAAGAGACTGAGTTCTGAAAATTGCAGGGGGGGGGTGTTTTGTTTTGTTTGCTTTTGCCATTCCTGAGGTTTGAATTCAGGGCCTGGGAGCTGTTCCTGAGCCTCTTTGTGCTCAAAGCTAACACTATACCAACTTGAGGCACTTCCAGCTTTTTCTTAGTAGTTTGTTGGATATAAACAGATCTGAGCTTCCTGAGTAGCTAGGATTATAGGCATATGCCACTGGCACCCAGCTTTACAGTGTTTGTTTTGATTTTTTGTGCAGGACCTGGGGCTTGCACTCAAGTCCTGGGTGTTGTACCTGAGCTCTTTTGCTCAAGGCTAGCACCCTATTACTGAAGCCAAAGCTCCGCTTTTGGCTTTTTGGAAGTTAATTGGAGATTAAGAGTCTATAGACTTTCCTGCCCAGGCTAGATTTGAACTGCAATCCTCAGATCTTACCCTCCTGAATATTTAGTATTACAGCTGTGAGCCACCAGAGCCTGGCTTGAGAATCACAGTTTGAAGCCACCCTGGGCAGACAAATCTGAGAGGCCCTTATTTCCAACTAACCAGCAAGAAGTCACAATGTCAGAGTGGATGTGTGGCTCAAGTAGTGGAATGCTAGCTGTGAGTGAAAAAAGTTGAGAGAGTGGAAGGCCTAGAATTCAAATCCCAGTAAAGGGAGGAAGAAAAGCTTTTTACATTTTTAAGTGGCTAAAGAGAAAAAAAATCAGGGCTGGGAATGTGGCTTAGTGGTAGAGTGATTGCCTAGCATGCATGAAGCCCTGGGTTCAAATCCTCAGTACCACATAAACAGAAAAAGCTAGAAATGGTGCTGTGGCTCAAGTGGTAGAGTGCTAAACTTGAGCAAAAGAAGCTCAAGAACAGTGCCCAGGCCCTGAGTTCAAGCCCCAGGACTGGCCAAAAAGAAAAAAAAAGAAGAAAGAAAAAGAAAGAAATCAAAAGAGGAATAATATTTCAAAATTGTGTGAAATCTGAACTTTAGTGTCTGTAAAGTTTTATTAGAATATATATGCGCTTATTCATGTAAGTACTGCCCATGGTGGCTTTCACACTACAACAGAATTAGGTAGAGATCATATGGTGCACAAAGCTTAAGTACTTACATATGGCTCTTTACAGAAAAAACATGCTGATCTTTCATTTAAATGAGCAGAACTACTAGTTGTGATACTTTGATTGTCCCTTACTTTCCTTAATACTTTATTTCCTCTCTGTTAACACTCAAGAACCTTGTGCAGCCCTTAGCTGCACCACTTGAGGTAAATTTGATTTGGTGATCACCTCTGTTCTCTTGGTTTGAGTATTTGGTTGCTGACTTATAAGTGATATACACCCCTAAATATGTTACCAGGCTACTAGATTCAAACGTTCTAATGTGTAACTTCTACAGTCACACTTTTTTTTGGTGGTGGTACTGGGAGTTGAAATCAAGGCCTTGTGCTTGCTAGGCAGTACCATTTTGCTTTATTTTGGGGACAGGCCCTCACATTTTTGCCAGGGCCAGGACTATAATCCTCTAATTTATACTTCCTAGATACCTGTGATCAAAGATCAATACCACCATACCCAGCTATTGGCTAAAATGAGGTTCTGACTAATTGGGGGGGGGCGGTAGAGGGTCTGAGCTAACTTTGAAAATGATACTCCCAATTTCCACCTCCCAGGTAGCTTGGTTTTAGGTGTGAGCCAACATCCCTGGCTATTAGTATTAAATATCATTGTGCAGGCTCTATCCTATAAGGTGATCCAATAAATAATAATAAAGTAGGAAATAACCATCACCGTATTACCTAGTTAAGATAAACAGTCATCATCAAAGATAACCATATATATTATGATTTTCATAAAGCATAAAGTAGTATAGATTTTGACTTATCACAACTTAAATAATAAAGGTTCTTCTGCCAATTGAAGCAAAAGCAGAAGAGAAGAAATGAAAACTGCAACCACAGTTGAAGTTAGGGAAATGAACCCTAAGATATGTATTCAAATGTTTTTTTTATTTCATGCAATTGTTTCTAACACATTTATAAGATTATTTCTTTGTTGTTTTGTATGTCCTTCCCCCACGGTATAATCTCTGCTTTCACTGTATTTGATGTTGTTATAATTTGTGGAGGGGAAAGGAAAAAAACAAATACAGGTAGACCCAGTGCAACAATGAGACGTACAAGTGGTTATGTCGAAAACGAACTTTACAACTTTGGTGGGGGGGGGAGGGTTGGGTGGGGGTGTGGGGGGAGGATGGGATGGGAAGGGAAACAAAGGAGGAGGCTACAATGCTTGATAAGAAATGTACTCATTATCTTGCCCATGTAATTGTAACCCCTCTGTACAGTATTTTCACAATAAAAAATAAATTAAAAAAAAAGAAAACTGCAACCACCTATATCAACAGAATTATCAGTAATAAGAACTGAGAATACTTATATCAATATGGCTTAGTTTTTTGTTGTTGTTGTTCAAGGGAACATTTGTTCAGTAAATACCATTTATTGAATAATCTATCCTTCCTCACTGATTTGAAAAACACATATATCATTCACTAAACTATTTTATGTATTTGGATCTATTATGTTCTATTGAACATGACAATTCATGAATGTGACCAACTTGTTTTTATTTCTATAGTTTTACAATATTAAGTATGACTATATCACCTTATTTTTTTTCAAAACTATCCCAAACATTCTTGTATATTTATTTACACATGAAACTTACAATCAGCCTAAGTCCAAACAGGCCTTTAGTATTTTTTAATTGGGAATTCTCACTCACCAAAAAACACATTATAGGGCTGGAAGCATGATTCAAGCAATAGAGTACCTACATCACAAGCACAGGCCCTGAGTTCAATTACAGTACTGGGGAAAAAATACACACACACACACACACACACACACACACA